AAATAGATACAGCGTGAGAGCTCGCGTCGCAAAGCGGAGCGGATACTGTGCGTACGTCGTCGGCTCTGTTCGAGAGCATTGCGCGTGTACAATCCCGGCCATTAGCCGCAATTAACCGTGACGGCCCCGACATTCCCCACGGATTTATGTACTAATTAAGCTAATTAATTTATCCGCTTTGCTGTCGGCATGTGCGCATAGATCTGATTCTTGCACTCTTTGACATATCGGTCGCAGAATGCCGCGACGCGCGATTGACGTAGCTCGCGCTTTGCGCGTTCTTTGCATTGCATAAAGGTGAAATAAATATGTGCGATCTCGCAGCACAGTTGCCTTCATTTCAACCCGTTGATTAAAGAAATTTAGTCAATGTGTAATGCAAGAGAATCTTCTTCGTGATTATGTAACGAAGAATTGATATTTCACATTGGATGTGAAACGCAGATCGACACACACAATCTATCGCCGACTTACGTACAGATTCATCATCCTCAGGAAAGTTGTAAAAAAAATAAAATATTGTAAATTAAAACTAGAGAAAGTATTTTTTGTCTTCGTTACTTTTTCACTAATTTTAGAAAATTCTTTAAAATTACAAAATTCATTACTGTTGTATATTTACGAATTATCAATTAATCCATTAATATGCCTATTATATCTTCCCTTTGCATTCGTTATGTAAATCACACACAGAAATATATATATATATTTTTTTTTAATTATATATATATTAACTCTTTTATATAAATCTCTTTCTGTATATGCTTAACTTAATTAAAAAAATTAGTTCGGTAATCAATTAATCTCGTGAGAATAAAGTTAGACATACAGAAAAGGATTTACATAAAAGATGGAAAGAAAAAGGATTTACATAGGTCAAGATTCGTGCATAATCATTGACTAATATCAGTCCGCGAAACTAGTCTTTCCTATTCTCGAGAGTCCCTGACTTAATCAAGGCTTCGCCCTTGGGCTTCCTCACAGTCCTTGAGACTCGCGCTGATTTGTTCTACAAATCGGCGCCAAAAGGCGTCTTCACGACGTCTGGTTAAATTCGCATCGTCATTATTATTGCTCGTGTGAACGATGTATACGCATATCACATTCACGATTAGAATTTTCTTGTAAACTCAGATTTTTACATCTGCATCATTGGGTTCAGATCGCGGAAAATCCAATTATCGTCTCGCAACGTGGGCGAAAATGTCCAAAGGTGAAAGCGGTCGTGCGAGTCGTCGCTACCATCGTGCTCCGAATTACTTCAGTAATTGAAGACACAGTTGCTTGTCGGTGTGTTCGTGAAAGACTTACGGATCGTTAAAATTAAACCCCTCACTAATTTTCGATGACCCGAATCGGGTCGGAGTGAAGCATCCCGAGCATCGATAATTCACATCAGAAAGTGCTATCTTTCTCAATCCTAATAAATCGGATAAAAATTCAAGAGAAAGATATAAAAAATTTATTTCTCATCCATAGTCCAATTTCGAAATTAATTTATCAGATAATATCACATGCAAAACACCGATGTTTCGCATGTGATATATAAAACTATTAAAATAATTCCACAAAATCATGATACGATAGCTCAAGTTATTTTCATTTATTTTAAAAAATACCTGGCACTAATAAATTCGATTATATAAAATGCCAACATTAATCCAATAATTAAATTATCTAATATATTAAATATATCTATTAACACATATTCGAAATTTAAATATCCTATATTATTAAATATTCAATTTGGCACGAGAGCATATTTTTCTTTTTACTGTATATACATAAAGTGTTCATTTTAAACATTTAAGAATTTTTAAGCAGAATCATTGTGTTGACATCGAAAGTTATCGGCTTGCAATCATATCTGAAATAAATTAATTTAATATAAAAATATATAATGTATTATTTAAAACATCAAATTTTTTTTCCGATCATGGCTCTCTTTATCGTATTTAATGATCATTTTAATATAATTCGTATGTTGTTTGTAAATCGTTAAAAAAGTTACGGAAAACACCTCATTATCGTTTCGTGCAAAGTAGTGTATAGAAGGCGTTGCTGATAGATAGGCGTTGCTGATAGATAGGACGAGTCATGGTCTCTAATTAATGAATTTGTTACGAGCGTAGCAATTTGTGCGGTATTCGTTGTACGTTACTTTCGTTTAGCATGATAAGTAATCGACGTGCTTGCGAGCAAGTATATGGGATATATTCAACGAACGAGATGATTCAATCGTTTTAATTTTTTTAATCTCGGGTAAGATGAAAAAAATTGAAGAAGATTAAGATACGGCACGATCACTACGTACATTTTTCGGAATCGAGAAAGAGTCATGTCGATGATGCAGCGCTGTAAAACGTAGGTTTCCTTTTCTCCGAACAAATGCACAAAGAATCCTGTTTCCTAGCAAAAGTATACTAAATTTACGAAAAATTTAGATTGACCGTGTGAACAGCTCGACAGCGTTTGCTTTTATAAGAACTGTTATTGTTTAACGATACAACATCGTCAGATACTCGCCATACGACGTATCGCGATACACTGCTGTTCAGGTCGAAAGCAGATAATTTTGCGGGATCCCTAATTACGTTATATCTCGCAATAAAAGTCATTCTGAGCGACAAGGATTAAGATTACGGAACACAGTGTACAAAAAGACGCGACAGCCTGCAAAAGCGGCTTTAAACGGCTATATATATTCTCACCGTGGTTAAGCTCAGTATTCGTTTCAATAATAACTCGCGTTATATAATTCGAAACTTTGTGAATTCTCCCGTCGTAATAACGTACGAGCGGCTTCGATGAAATACGAAAACAGATACCTGCCTCGGTCCGGCGGACCAATAAAACATCTTTTAATGCATTATTAAGTATCTTTTGCCCCGCATACATGGTGCGCATCCTTTGGACTGGCGCCCGTCGAGAACGCATTACGACACCTCGCGATCCAGTTTTCTGAATCGCTGAAAATTTACGAGCGATTAACGATGACTGACTAACTAACTTCCTGGTGCAAAAGTGGGAAATCATGACGAAACTGCAGAGATATTTCACTCGCGATAAATTACATATGTTCTCTCCAAGAGAAATTTGTCTTACCCTTATCCGCATCATGATCAACTCTCGATCAATTCGCAGAACTGTTAACTCCGTTTCTCATATCTCTCCACGATCTCATCCACTTATTTCATCTTGTATTGTACATTCGATGATTCATCGACTGATCGATACCGGAACTTGGTGAAACGCGTATTCTCAATACGACGGTTGTTCTCCAGCTTAGAACCGCGTCCTTGAACCTCGCCTTCGCTAATGTACAATGCACGCGGTCGAGTTATTTGCTAAGTGCAATCGATCGATCTTCCTCGACAAGATCGATCGGCCTTGCGAGGACCGGTTGCCACCGTTCGTTAAATAGCCGTTCATCGTATTAAATTAGACAATCACTGGCTGCGTTCAGCAGAGAAAGCAGCTTTGCAATTGTTGTAAAATTTTCTTTAGTACGATTGGTTTTAGTTTTGTTCTTAGTTCCTTACTCTCTATATAAGTGTATAAACCGATGCTTTCACTGTTGAATGTAGTGGCAGCTTGAATAGAGTGGCAGCTCGTAAGCGTCGCGTAACGACTTAAATGCGCCCGTAATCACATTGTTCGCCGATAATTGCGCATTAATAGATGAGAACTAGGTCTCCTCTGACTGCGGGACTAGACGTTGATCTCTTAACTCGCCTTCACCTTGCGTAATCGTAGCGGTCGCGACTGGTCAAAAATATCGGACGCTTCATACGTTCGTTCGTGGATTCCACACACTCATAATCGCTACAGGCACCTCGAAACAGTTCTCCTCCGCTCTTTATGCTTGGAGAGCCGTGTATTATGCGTTTTTTTTTCGCAGCCACCTTCACGCGATCCTATACCACGTCGATGCCTGTACCATCCTTAATCCAGGCTATGCGGCACGGTCGTACGTTGCTTCCGCTTATGAGCTGTCCGACCATCCTCGCAAATTACTCCTCTTGAATTCGCTAATCCTTCTCGATCTCCACATGCCTTATCGTATTACATAACTTTGCAAATCGTAAAAAAAAAAAAAAATGTTTTCACGCTTACCGTTATTCCATTTGAGCGACCTATGTAATCTTCAAACCTTTACAAAATTCAACAGATTTATTCGCTGTTTCATTTCGTAACGAATAAAAGTTTACGATTAAGCAACTTTTAACGGAGTCGATGTTTTTACATCTATATCTCATCTGTGCTACACGCGACAACTCTATGAACATGTCAATCTCCATTTGTCAGCAACGTTCATCCATCAATATCACGGGAGAGTAAAGGACTCCGAGTACAGAACATCGCACGAAGATTATCTCTCGGCGATTAGTCTTCGCGAGATACAATGGCGACTGAGTCAGTTGGCGTAATGCGCGCCTGCCATGCTTTTACGTATTTGTCGATAACAGAACGCATGCTCCGAGCTGTGAGCGCGATGAATATGTAAAAGCTGGTAGGTAATCATCGTCGCTGCCGTGATGAGTGCCATTGAGGAGAAGAGCGTGATTTTTTTAACGCGCATACGGAGCGATTACGAGCGCGGCGAACTATCTTCGCGCCGAGCTCTCACAACGAGCAATTGCAACGCACATTGGTATTGGTAATGAGCAATAAACGCTTCGTCTTACGCTTCGTCGAACTAATCGATTGGGAATCAGCGCAGCAAAGATCGTGTATCGCCGCGAGCTATGATTCCACCACCTGTGTGCAATTCTTTTTTTTCTCTTATCTTCCGAAAATATCGCCAGCAAAAAAACATTGACAATACGCGATACGATCGTCGGGTCCGTTGTCAACGAAGTTGTCGAGCAACATAAATCGATGCGATCTACAGACATTCCTATCTATCGATAGGAAGGATTTGTGCCGCGAGGAAGGGATTCATACCTCGGCCCCGCCGAAGTGATTGAAAAGAAAAAGAAAAAAAAGAAAAAAGAAATCGTAAAATTGCAGGAGTGAATCGCGATTCGGCTGGAACTCGGTGGATGATAATATAATAAAACGATGTCATCATCGGCGATCTTGCACGTTTGTGTCGTGGTTAGCTAGGTAGCCGCGTACGTATACGAACGGCGCGGCGTGTAACGGTCACTAGGATGCGCGCGTTCCCCTGGACCATTCTAATATCAAGGACACACAGTGATGCGATGGATGCGACTACGAGAATAGTGATGGCGCGCGGTGGCGAAGCAGGGGGCAGATGGAGATGGGAGCAAATGCGGACGACCCTCGACCCGGCACGCTGAAACCTGGAGGATATCTGACTCACGACGACGCGACGCGTGAGTCCGTTCTATTCTACCGGTGCGACACGGCGCATGCATATCCCTCGCGAATCCCTCGCGAATCCCTCGTTATCGTACTCTTCGGAAATGTAGAATGAACTTTTCGACGTAACCTCGAGATAATTTCGAGATGTGACTTGATCCTGATTTAGATCGACTGTCAAAATCACAAATCGTGTTGTACAGGCCGGTATTTATAGTCGGTTTTTTTATATTCAAGATCGTCTCGCATCTCTACTATGTACTATCACGTTTAACTTATTCTGTCTTATTTTATAAGGTTATTTTTTCAGGTTATAAAATGGGATAGTATAAGTTGGAATAAAATTTTATATATAGATACAGAGAGAAAGAGAGAGACATTAAATGTATATACCCTTCTTTCTAGATTTTGATAAAATTGCTCATGGCCAGACATTTCTAGACATTAAAATGGTCTTCAAATAAGATTATGAGATTCATAGGACGGTATTTAGTCCGTTCTTACTTCAAGATCATATCAAGTAATTTCTTAAGATACTAATACTGCTCCGACGTTAATTTATAACGTCTCAAGACGGTACTTGAAACGGTCTTATACATATTATATATAAGATCTGACTGAGTATCAGTTAGATAAAATAATTTATGCTAAAATACTTCTGCAATATTTATGCGTGGTTAATAAAGCGAGGAAAATTAAAAAACTCAATTAAAAAAAAATATCCTTTAAAAAAATATTTTCTTATTTAAAATTAATCTTCTTTCTTATTATAAAATACATATTTGCAATAATTTTCTACGTTTCATTATTTTTTATAAATTACTTGATGATTATGCCAGGAAAGACCGCACTATTATGGACTCGGAAAATTTCACGAAGGAAAGGATTTTCTCGGTCGTGGCAAAGTTGCGACGCTGTAAAAGACGGGGACGGCGCGTACGTGATTGCTGATCGCAATCGTAGACGAATGGTTACGTTATACGGGATATGATTATTGGCCGACCGGAATAATAATTGTAATCATCGCCGGCAGAGATAATGATGAGTTGACGACGAGTCGTCGCAGTAAAGGCGCAGTGCCAGAGGTGACACACGCGAACTCGCACAACGCATCAGAGCTCCCACACTACCTATCTCCCGTACAACTAGTACCGTCTAACGGATTGCACAGAAACGATATTGTGACGAATCAACTGGCGCCAACTGCGCATTATAACCTGTTCTCTTGCAATCAGCATCGAACGAGATTGTAAAAGGGGTTGGTATTATTCTGCCGAAATGTCCTTCCGATTGAACTTCTTTAATTGTATTCTACAATTGTCTTCTATAAAAAGAGACAAGTGTATATTTCTAGGTAATAAGCTTTCTAGAGATTTATCTTTGTAGCAAATAAAAAATTGTGTACTGAATCAATCATGTCGTGAACTTTACTCTCAACTTTTCCAATCGTATCAACTATGATTGTTCATTCGTGGAAATCATTCTTTAATGGCGCAAAAGCACTCGATCTTTCTTCAGTTAAAAAATTGTCGCGGATTTACTCGCGCGCGATCTTGCGTTTGCAATCTCGACGAGAGTTCCCGAGAATATTATAAATCGTTGGTAAGGGAGAGCAGCGAATCTGCGAGAGTGGCCCTGAGATTTTGATTCTATCTCGCCTCGATACTCGATCGAAGGCCATCTCGATTGACCGAGTTGGAAAACAATACGCTGGGGAAGACGGGAGAGGATTGCAAATTATCCTAGCGGCGTAATTACACAGCAAAATGATGATCTTTCTCATAGACGAGTGTCGATCGGTTTCGATTATTAAGCATCGCGCGATATATAAAAGAGTAGAAGAAGGTTGTGTGATTTATATCTCATCACAAAGTATCATAAAATAAGTAACACGTTTGTCTGCTTTCAACACCCCTTAAGAAATTCTACCTTCTTCGTATTCTCCACTTTATTTATAAATAAATAGCACTTTTTGAATTTAATGCATTCTTATCGAGAATTAAATGTCTATTTCTTGGAATATTGATTCCCCAAAAAAATTGATTCTACTCATTTCCATTGCATTCGCTTTTCTGCAGCGTCAATTAAAATAAAGCGTTACATAATAAAAGGAATAATTGTGCAAACATAGAGGACAAAATAATTTGTTTTATTAAATATTTGTCAAATATTTCGAATTCTTTTTAAGTAAACTTTTAATATTAGCTGATATTGATCTTTGCTCGATCATTGCAAAATTATTATTACATTACTACTTATTGCTGGGAAAAAAATGAAGTAATTGTTGTTAGCAATATTCACATGACATTTTCTCCATCTCCCATTTTCTATTTTTAATCGTTATACAACATGCACATTGCACTTATCACTCTCTTTCGTAGTTCACGCTGGTACCCAATACACCGTTATCAATCAATGATCATTCGATTCTCATTCCGCGCGCTTCATGCATCATGAACGTACGTACTTAATCATTCGCAGAGAATATCTTCTCTAGTGATTGTCTTTAATGGAGACGCGAGTATGTGAGCGGCGGAGTCATTCGCGCACCGCATTCGGACATATACTCGATCGTGTCGGTCATTGCGAAATCAATAATTACGAGAATCGCGTTACTTCGTAGCGCACGTCCAGGACACGTCCAGGATTTATTAGCATCGACCGAACGTGCGCGCAGAATGTATCACCTGCTAATAAAAATAAACTCTTCTCTCGGCTGTGTATAACCTCGAGATCTTGAGCCGGTAAAAGTAACGCGAATCGCATGCACCTTCATCGTCGTCCGCACTACGTTCTGCATGTCGGATATCTTCGATCGTTCGATAAAGCGACAAGCATTTTTGCTCACCTCTCAAACGTTTATTTTCTATCGAGCTGATGCACGAGGCGACTTTACTTGTGTTACGAAACCGAAGCGATAAAGAGATGACGCGATAGTAGAGAGAGAGAGAGAGAGAGAGAGAGAGAGAGAGAGAGAGAGAGAGAGAGA